AATTGCTCTTCATCTTTCCAAAATTATGCGTTATGCAATCCACTTGTTGTAACCATTTCCACCTTTTAATTATATATATTAATTTTATTCGTTAATTATCACCACATTGACATCTTGATACTGACTAATTATTGTTAACAAACATATCTCCATTTGATTGGTAAATTGTTGTGTATTGTAATAAAAATGCTATATATATTAGAGTAGGGCCAGAGGTGAGGATCTAATCGACAAGTATGACTATAGTAGCTGTCATCAACGAAATATGGCGCTTTTGACAACCGTGTACATTCTAAGAACTCATGGCGTACGCATGCCCGCCAAACGGCTTCTGGATTTTGTAATCATGTGAAACTCTGCAACAGTAGCAAATATGTGTACGACAGTGACTGAATTTGAATTCTCGGAACCAATGGAAAGCGCCTTTGGCATCTAAACAAATGAAAATAACGAAAATGTGCTCACTGCAAGAAAATAACCTCGGGTTCTTATTGTGGTTTCCGGGACATCAGAATATACGAAAATGGTTTGAATGTGAGTAAATGACTCTCCGAAGGAGAGCTATAGTTTCGTTCCTTAAAATCATTCAAGTCGATTTACTTTATTCATTACATAGTAACTTATATGTTTCACGTCTAACGGTGTCCTCGTCACATAAAATACGGACCAAATAGGGTCGGCCTGAAAAATTTGGGCTACCGATATCCATGCTGAAAATTTCATACTTGTACCAAAAATACGGTGTAGAACCAAGCTGTAATCAAAAATAAAATAAGTATTTTAGAATTTTTGTACTTAGTGGTTCAAGCATATAACTTTTTATATTGACTTCTCGTCCTGCCTGATGAGATGCTAGGTGATAGTTCTGAATAAAAGGGGTGCAGGGGGTCTGAAAGTACGGCCTTTGCCCATTTTGTACAGGAATTTATGTGTCTCTCGACTATAGTGTTGGCGAGCTCACGCAGTAGCATACCACAAGCTCTACTCACAGCATTTAATACCCTTCGTTATATAATATAGTCGTTTTGGGAAGCCCAGGAAAGATTAATGGAGAGCAATAGAGTACAACAGGTAAAATACAGGAGTTTACAAACTGCAGAAGTAAAAGTTGGTTGATTGTCTTAACTTTTCAACGTAGAAGGTAGGATGAAGCATCTTCTTAGATATTGATAAAATATGGGACGACCATGAAAGGTCAGGGGAAAGAACTAATCCAAGGTATTTAATGCTTGACTTGGTTTCAATTTCGGTGCCATCTGTGCTACAGGCATCATGCGAACTAACTAGTTCATGTAAGTCACGTCGATGCTTGAAAGTAAAGTTAACTGCCTGACATTTGGAAGGATTTAACATAAGACCATTTGACTTCAACCACTTACTGATGTCCAACAGAAAGCTATTAAGTTTGGAGCAGTCAGATTTGGAAGTGATAGGCGGTGAGCGATACAGTCAGATCATCCGCATATTTGACAAAGTTAGTTTCGTTTAAATGAAGCAGGTCGTGCAGGAAGAAAGAAAAAAGAAAAGGAGAGAGGACAGCACCTTGAGGAACACCGGCTTTTGTAAGTGGGGCAGAAGATTTGCCATTATATACACTATACTGCATTCTATCAGAAAAATAAGGATGCATCGAACTCTTGGCCCAGGATCCTGTTGATGTCAACGAAAGCTTATTTAATAAAAGGCTCCTAGTTACAGAGTCAAAAGGAGATGTGCAGTCTAGGAAAGCACTACGAACATATTTGGCACATTTTTCTAAACAAGAAACAACATTATAATATAAGACTACCACATCATCCAAGGTACTTCTACCATGTTTACGTGCAAATTGTTTAGGATCATTAAGGGGTTTCAGTGAAGGTTTAAGACGAAATGAAATTAATTTTTCCATCAATTTTAAAAACAGGAGAAGTAATTGCAATAGGCCGAAATTTAATATCAGTACCAGAAGATGGTTTCGGTACGGGGATAATTTTAATGTTTTTCCATGCAAAAGGTAGAACGTTGCCGGAAAAAGAAGCGTTAAAATGTTAATAAGAGGGTAACACAAAATATCAGCACAATTCCTGAGAACAATGGCAGGTATGCCATCAGGACCAAGGCTTTGAGAAGGCTTAAGAGACCGGAGACATCAGGGGTATTAAAACCATTAAAATTATTGTCTATATGATTTGTTACATAGGAAGGATATCGACAGAAGGGCATATGAAAGACTTGCTAAGAGTATCAACATTAAAAGATGGTACAGAAGAACATCGCTTACCGCTAGTAATATCTTTGAAGAGTTACACAAACCAGAAGGGTTTTACATGGCAAGAATCTTTGGTTATATAAAACATTTAGCCTTTGAATTTCGAATTTTGTCAGAGTATTTAACTTTTTTGCACCTGGCTTATAATTTGTTCTGAACAACAGTTCTTTATCTCTTCGTAGCGTTTTGAGATGTGGAGAAGAGAAACGGTCGAATTGAATGAATAATATTTCTTTAGGAAAACATACTTCGAAACAGAATTTAAAATGATCAGCAGTGCTTGTGATTGTGCCATTTAATGTTTGTTCTGTAAATAAGTCCCAGTTCGTGTCTTTCAACATGCATCTGAATTTGCCCAAGTTGTCTTGTGAGTAGCATTCCCGTTGAAATTTACTGCAGAGGCGAGGGAAGACATCCCTGTGACTTGGAATATATTTTAGGCAGTACACATATGACGCAGTGGTTAGATTTAAATAGAGAAGCACGTCTGCGAGCTTCATATATACCAACATCATTGATGAATACTAGATCTAGTGTTTTATCAAGGCGAGTAGCGAAGTGACCAAGTGACATAAGGAAGGAGTGATCGTATGAATTAAAATCACCAGTTACTATCGATAAAGAGTTCTCGAAGCAAGCTACAGCAAAAGTGGTGAATTCATCTGTGAACATAGATAAATCCGATATGGTACAACCAGGAGAGACATAAACATTAGAAATATAAATGAATTGGTATTTTGACAAGTGTTTCGGGCAACATCTCACAGTGATGCAATCAATGTAGTCATTCGAGAATTTGAAAAAAACTTTATTAGAAATGGACCATTTTGGGTGAATAAAAGTTGCAACACCCCCGCCACATTTTTTCTTAGAATAAACACGGTCTTGTCGGAATACTTTAACACTGACAGCTTCTCAGAGTTGGCTGACATAAGTCATGGTGCCAGGTTTCTTTGAGAGTAACAATACCAGTATTGTGATAAATTTCGGACGACAAAAGGGACTGAAAATATAGAATTTTGTTAGGCAGGGACCGGCAACTGGTAATGATAATTGGAACAGTGGTTTGATGTATGAGTGTAGATTTTAAAGCACATGGACAACCATCATGGTGCTTTTTCTTGAGTATATCACAAATATGAAAGTTTTGGGTTTGAAACAATTTATAAAATCTCGGGAGTGAATAATACGATTAGAATGCATAATATGATATGTAAACACTAATAAAATATGAGTAAATAAAATAAAAATAAATGCGGAATGTATATGGAACATGGTAGTTCGAAATGCCAAACATGTCGTCAAGGTCATCCATATGTATTAAATACATATAAATACATATAGCATAACTAATCACGCACACATCAGCACAGTCATCACCTGATTAGTATGAAAAGTGTATATATAATGGCCAGCAATACATGCATTAATTCTCCTGGTATATCTGGGCTCCGTTTGGTCAACAAGTAAGTAACAGTGCCACGACAGGACTCTTTTACACCCAATATATTATAATCTGACTCGAATAAACGAAGTCGTCAAATGTGAATTCAGTGTTCATCAACACCGATTCCTCCTAATCCTTCTCTCAACTAGGATCAAAAGAAGTTCATATGGCTAGTTGTGGTAAAACCTGGGCTACCATGGAGATGGCCGGAATGGAAAGCAAAACAAAATGGACAAAAACAAGATGATGCACAATTTCACTTATGATGGTTAGCATAAGAACGCTATCGACGTCTCAAGCCAAAGATATCACAGGTCACACAAGTCAAATAGGTCGGTTCACTGACTCTGAAATCTCTTAAGACCTTACGAAACAAACGTTATTTGGCCTAACGACTAGCGTAGAGACGAAAATGGCCTGCTGAGCAACGCTAAACAGCATTCCCGTTTGACGAATATCCACCTTATCTAGTCGGCACAACAGTTCCAGGTAATAATCCCACGGATATTATCCAGTTGAAACGCCCCAGAACCCCGCAGGTCTGCTCTAGAACAACATTCGACACCTCTAACAGCTGCACGGAAATCAATACATAAACTTTCACTAATTAGCCCCTTATTTTAGACGATACTAGTCTTATTCCACTTTCCACATAAATATTACACCTCGTTGACTTGGCGGACCACAATCATCGTTGGACATTAATATAAAAAAGAAGATAAAAGAGGAATTTTAGTTACAACCATGATGAGGGTTAGCTAGATTTTAGATAAAGCGACAGGACATGTGAACAAATACACTGCAAATACTTGCTGAATTATGGCACAACTAACGTATATGTGTAGTAAACAGGTTATCTACAGACGACAGAACTCGCATAAATTCGATGGATATGTATATATAAAAGACTTGAATCAAATCAAAAATTTTGGTTTGTGCAGACATTCTACACACACTGATAATCCCATATTATAATGTAATGCCACAGAAGAATAGCAGAACCTGAAACAGCCCGCATGACATTTTGAGGGAAGGCATCAAAGTGGGCAGCAGTAAGAGATGTAGCAGTGGTTCGATACCGTTCGATCTCTTGAAATCCAACATATTGACGTAATCCGAGTGGATTTTACACCTTGTAAGCTACTTTCTTCGAAGACAGCAGTCACAATTGATTGAGAGCCAATTAGTGGGGAAACAAAAGCACAAAACAGCTTTAGGTAAACAATCCAAAACTTGTTCTTACTACCACTTATTCAGGATTTCAATAGACAATGAATAGGGATATAAATTAAAACAAAAAGAGTGAGCCAGAATATAAAAACCGAATTCGAATTTCATTTACTGTTTTCAGCTGATATTTCTAGAATTTTTATAAGTACAAGTGTTGGAGTTTGTGAGTTTCATGCTTTTTCTTAATCAGTGTAACGTTTCGCAAGGTTAGTGCTATATTTCGAAGCAATCCTTAATGCTGCTCGTGAGGTTGAGTTTTGTTGTGAGAAGGCCGTGCCTGAAAATTCCGAATGGTTTCAGAAAATTTTGCGCCGAAGCAGAACGTAATTTATACGGACTTTTATCGAACTTTTCAGTTTTAGTGGAAGATGGTAGCAAGTCAAGAAACTCAAATGTTACACGGCCTATTTATTGTGATTTTCAAGCAACTACCCGACAGTAAGCTCATTTCATTACCGTTAACGCGACAAGGATCCTCGTGTTCTAGATGCTATGTTACCTTTTTATATGAGTCAGTTTGGTAACCCACATTCACGAACACATGCCTATGGCTGGGAAAGCGAGGATGCTGTTGAAAATGCCAGAAAGGTAGTGCTGTGTTTTATACTCTAATGCAAATCAGGAAGTGGCCTGTCTCATTAATGCTGATCCGAAAGAGATTATCTTCACTAGTGGTGCTACGGAAAGTAACAATATTGCTCTGAAAGGAGTGGCCAAGTTTTACTATCCGAAAAAGAAAAACATCGTGACAACCCAAATTGTATCTGTCTCTTTTGCTTAATGTTTACTTTCTTGTAGGAACATAAGTGTGTTTTAGACTCCTGCAGGGTCTTGGAAAATGCAGGATTTGATGTAACTTATTTGCCTGTTCAGAAAAATGGGATTTTAGACCTTCAGGTACCAATATTAGTAATTTATGCCTTTCCACAAGGTTTTAGAACAGTCAATAAAACCTGAGACAAGCTTAGTCTCAGTAATGTCTGTGAATAATGAAATTGGTGTCCGTCAGCCTATTGAGGAAATTGGGAAACTATGTCGTAGTAAAGGAGTTTTCTTCCATACTGACGCCGCTCAAGCTGTTGGGAAGCTGCCACTGGATGTTAATTCAATGAACGTGAGTAATGATTTCCAAATTTTACTAAGTGTCATTGGTGTTGAGGTACTTCCGTTTACTTTGGAGGTAGAGTTTCTCCAATTCCAACTCTCTTTGTGGCATCGAAGCTTCTTAAGTGATTTGTGTGAAAATTTTGTTGCCTTCACCCAGAGAAATTATTTTGGATATGATAAAGTTAATTTGGTGGAATATGAAGTCTCCACTCTTCTGATTATATCTAAATACAGTCTGCATCCTTTTCGCGTGGTAATTTGAAATATAGTGGTTCCATAATAACGTTTTAGTACAAAATAGTTTGAAATCTAAATGCATATATTTTCTTTGGTATGTGCTTAATGCTTATCAAGAGGATTTTATTGTATGTTGGTTTTCAGTTTAATTACTCATACCTTCATGTCTCGAAATTTTCAGCCTGCACACTACATTTCTGAACCATTAATTTTTTGATACAAAATTATTATTATTGTTTTGTTTAATTCCTAGAGGAACATAAGACTCCAACTGCACGTCTCCATTGCGTTCGGTTCTCTGCTAAAGTTTTCACCTGACTCCAGGTCTGTCCACATGCTTTCGTCTCCTCTTCACATGACCTCCTCCAAGTCACCCTTGGACGATCAACTCGCCGCTTCCCTTTCGAGTTCCACTCGAGCAATGGCTTGTCTAGTGATGTCATTTGATGGTTTCCCCGGAGTATGGCCACTCCACCTCCATTTCTTCCCGCTTATTTGTTGCACAATGAGTTCCTGGTTGGTTCGCTCCCAGAGATCCCTGTTGCTGATCTTTTCTGGCCATCTGATCTTGAGTATTGAGCGAAGAGAGCTTTTGATAAAAGTCTGTAGTTTGTTTGAGGTAAAAAATAATAGTACGGAATTAGTAGACTGGCTGTAATCTCTATGAAGTATGGTTTGTAAAGGAGTGTGTGAATATATATCAGTTAATGTAACTGTACAACACTGTGAATTATCAAAATAAAATTTTATCCATAATGCAGTTATACTCTACCACAGTGCTCAAGTTTTATACTTATTTCAGGAGTGTGGGAATTTTAAACCGGTTGATTATACCATGAGCAAATAAAAGTTATGCACTTTTCTTCATAAGTTGAGTAATATATATATATATAGTGTTGTCAAACTTCCATTCAACCCAAAACCTCAGTCATGGTGCTGTCGGTGGATGCAAACAGTCGTAAGTAAATGATGGGTAAGTTGGCAAACTCAGCACTCTTCATAGGTCTAGAGCATAAATGTTGTCGCCGAAATTTCGTAAGTCTTATTTTTTGATGACCAAGACACTATCTCATGATGACAGTATAATGATAATCTCGATGACTTGTGCTATAGACGGATAACGAAATTCCGCATACTAAGTGTACTGACTCCTTGCTCTAAGCGTTATGTCATTTGGGCTTCTGAAATCTGTTGTCCTTCACTAAAAACTAAAATTTTCTCGTCAATATAGTTTTTGTTTTCTATTCAGAAATTATTTTCACCGCATTAGCGTGGAGGTAAACGGCATTGTCGGAGTCCTTCGACCACTTAAATATCTTGAAAATTAGGAAATCCAAGTTTCAGTGGTAGACCACCTACAACCAACCACTTATGAATAACCTAGTAGTAGGATTTAAACACCATGGTAGGTTATTTTCAGATTTTGTTTGTATCACACAGCAAAATGATATTTGCTGGTTGACAATTCATTGTCATAACCAACTCACCATAGTGTCTTCGTAAGAAACTAACGTTAAATAACGCCAGTTTGTGATACGTCTTATAATTTATTGCAATCCACAACTATTGGTTACATAAGAAGGGATTTCGGCACATTCTTCAACTTTGTAAAAGATATTTCCTGCTCTAGGGAAAACAGATAAGTGACAAAATGTAGGCCTCACAGCCAAATCGCATACCTTCGAAAAATGAATATAAAGCTTGTTTAAAATAGACACTACTATATGAAAGTTACTTCCCGAAAACTGCACGACTAGATTCAAGTGTAGTTTTGTAACTTTATAATTCTGGAAACTAGTTTATGCATCATTTCATTTTTCTTGCATAATTCGCCACAGTGATAAAATAACCATACAAACATGTACAGATCTGTCTGTCAGAGTCGTTTATGATTTTGGGATTTTCACCAGCATAATTCTTAATCAGAATAGATTCCAACTTGTGACACTATAGTTCAGGATAGTGTTTAAGCGAAAGATATTTGTCAGAATGGTTAGCGTATACGCAGAATGAATTAAGTACCAGTTATACAAGTGGTAATTGAAATTGTGCTTCAATTTGCATATGTATTTCTTTTTTTCTGGAATTCAGATTTATTTGCTTTGGGATGTGCGAGTACTGTCTGTGTTTCATTTCTATGTTTTACATTAAACGGAATATTTCTTCAGTCAAAAGTAATTTCGTGTTGTATTTGAATTTTTTATCCACAAACTTATATGAATTAGCGTATATATTTCACTACAAGAATCTGTCGTGAAGTTATGGTGTACTGCAACTAAAATTTCTTAGTAGATTATTCAGTCAGTGTTTTAGGTGACACTATATCATATGAACATATCCAGATGGTTTCTTGAATTACTTTTGTTTGTCATCTTATTCGGTCAAAAATCTAATTATGGGTATTTTTCAGATAGATCTCATGTCTATTAGTGGTCACAAGCTGTATGGTCCCAAAGGCATTGGCGCTCTTTATGTACGTCGTCGACCAAGGGTCCGGTTGGAAGCCCAACAGAGTGGGGGTGGGCAGGAACGGGGTTTGCGATCTGGTACTCTTCCTACAGCCTTAGTGGTTGGATTAGGAGAAGCCTGTCGAGTAGCGGGTGAAGAAATGGAGGTCAGTTTTGAAACATGATTCTTCTATAATCTTTTTGATCACTCATTATTCCTCCTACTTTTTTGCATGACTATGGATTACGCAACCACTTGTTTAGTCTCCACCAACATTTTCACCATTTAATTGTGGCATCAACCTTATTGGTTAATTATCACTCCCTCAGTATGTTGATATTAAGTGATTATTGATAACAATTTCATTGCTGCTAGCTTAGTAAATTTCTTTGTATTAAAGTGTTTATATGTTCTAGAATAGAGCCATTGGTATTTAACTTATATTTCAAGTTAAAAGTAAATATTTCGCTCGATTTATCGTCTTCTGAGCGTTGAACTATCTCATTAGTTTTGTGTCTGCATTTCACTCTTCTTTGTTTACATAGAGAGAGTTGAAGCTTTTTCGCTTAGAACAGTGAACATCACTTTTGACTTGTCATATAAAAAAATCTGTGATCACTTTGAATAAATACTCGTCCAATCTCACTCAAATAAGACAAAAGAGATGTGCGTCGGTGGCACAGTGGTTAGAACTCTCGCAGACCATGCATATGGTCCGGGGTTCGAGCCCACGCCGACGCACACCTGATACCTATGGTTGGCCCGCGAAATTTGGGCTACCGATATCCACGCTGAAAATTCCACACTTGTACCAAAAATACGGTGTGGAATCAAGCTGTAAATAAAAATAAAATACACAACTAACCATAAATATTGAGTGAAAGAACGACATATTTGTATTTCCTAGCTTCTACTGTTGATATGATGACGGATGAATAGTAAAAACGTAGCTAATTTTAAAAACATAGCTTAACAATCGTTTATAAGCATATATTTTTGGACTAAACTTTACCTAGTAGGGACATCCTGTTACGAGGCTGACTTACTGGGCTATTAGTCAGCTGTGGCTGATAAAAGTTCAATAAAAAGATTTGCTTAAATTAATAATTTCGGTGCGGAAGAATCTATTTTGGAATGCAAATTAGGTCTCATTGTGATAATATTTTTATTCTCGAGATTTTAAAACTATGAGTGAGTTTGTCTTATTCAAAATCACAAAATTGTTTGCTATTCACTTTTGCAAAATGTAGGAACAGAATGTATCCGCTAAACGCAAATTAAATTAAGTATTACATGTTTGTGATTATTAGTGAAAAACCATTAACATTGTCATACTGAATTTCGGTCATTTCAATTTATTTTTTGGTGTTAGTTTTATAACAGGTGTGTTATACATCTGTCATTTTTTCAATGGTGGGGTTTTAGTAGTTTCTGAGTGAAAGTTCATTTAATGCAGTGTTATGGGTTTTAATTTGTAATTGCAGTGTCATACTGAAATCTAACACATCCAACTAGCTACATAGGTCGCACGAACTCATACCTTTAAAAGATTAAAATTTCTGCAACCAAAAAAATGTCTCATGAATCAGGTCGTCCGACCTAAATTGTATATATGTTTTGTGTGAGGTTAAATTAATTAATTAATTGATGCGTGGCCTCAGTACTTGTCATTTATGAATCACGTGTATTAACACAGTTGTCATGTCTTATAAACTGTGATACTCTGAATGGATGCTTACTGTCTGAACCAGTTAGCTAAATCTTACAACTCTACTATTCTGTTTTCTTTCCGCGTAGGAATAGTTCAGGCACTTAACCTAGGAGCACATTTGTGACTACCACTTACTATTTTGCCAAAGCGTATGGTTAACATTTGTTGAATAAAACAAATATATTTTTCCCATTTTTCTGATTTCTCTATCTCTCTAATCTGATAGAGGACTTGTCATGTATCCACGTTACGCGCAAACTATATATATATATATCAACTTCCTGTTTTTTGAAAGATGTATTGTCCGTTCACTAATACGCCTAACTTCCCAATTTTATTAACAAAAGGAGGACCACGAACATATTTCCTTATTGAGTAAACGTTTAATCAATGGCATTACATCTCAAATTGAGCATGTTACTCTCAATGGTGATCCAGTTCAACGTTATCCAGGTTGCATAAACTTCAGTTTTGCATGTGTAGAAGGTGAAAGTTTGCTTATGGCTTTAAAGAATATTGCCTTATCATCCGGCAGGTAATTTCTTCAGAATTGTAGACTGATAATTATCTTTTTAAATAATTCCTTTTTGTGTATATATACTAATTAACCTAAATAATCATGACTTCACTAAACTCAAGGTATTTTTCTTAAGTACACAGCACATTGGATTGGACAAGAACAGACACTTGCCAGATCACCAGCCTTTCTCCCACACTCAATAATAGTTTGATGGTTTTCAGTAATTGACAAATACAATACATGACCATTTACTTCATGATAACACTTAGTAATCAAGTGGGCTATAGAGAATAATTAAACGCGTGACTTTTAGCAGTTAATCTGCTAATTACAGTCGTTTACCGACGCTTACGAATCGCCTCTATAAATAATCTTCTAATTACATAACAGTTTACTTGATTTTTCTTTATGCTTCTACTGGACAGAAGTTCTTCACTAAGGCTAGGTGTATAATTTATTGTGGTTATCAAAATACTCTTTCCTTAGTAACTATCTATTGTTTGTCACTATTTTGTACAAGTCATCAACTACAAAGTATTTCTCCATCTTCAGCCCCATTTAATAAGTGCAGCTTGCAGTGTGTAAGATGTGCACGTGCATGCTGTAGTCCCTCGACCAATAGCTGTTACCTTGGCGTGGTGGTCGGGCTTGCATATCGCGATGACCCAACAAGCTACACTGGCTGGAAAAAATGTTCCTGCAGGAAGGTTGTTAGGATAGAGATTAGACTAAAAGCAGTTACCGGCATTGTGTAAGAATCTTTCTTACACTATGCTGGGGGTCTGAGGGTGAAGTCGTACTGCTGGGGAACAGGGGTGCAACTGCAGTGAGGCGTTTCCCTCAGATGACAAGCATTCCAGCTATGCTGTCTCTCCACTCCAGAAGGAGGGGGTTAGAAAAGGTCGACCCCAAAAATTGCACATCCCGACTTACCCTACGGTGGTCCGTAACCGGCAGTAAGTTTACTAATATGGAACCAATCCGAGAAACCAGTTCATACAGACCGTGTGTGACCGGCCTCAAGCAGTTGTCCCATGGGCTCTGCGGTCACGCAATATTAAACCACTCTCTGTTTCAGGCACCCGAAGAATTAATCAACTTCCACGGTGTGGGCAGCCGGGAAGTAACAACCGCCCAAACACTTCTCTTGTTGTAATCTAATTCATAAACTAATCTTGTCAAATTAAGTACTACGCTTTGAGGGTAGTGCCATTTTATTTATTTTCTCCATTGTTATTTGCAGTTTTTCAGTATGATGTCTTGAATTTATGCACGTTATTGCTAAGTTCTTGGTTACCCTTTAATCAGTTATCTCCAAATTGTTTTGCTTAAGTGAATAGTTATATTTAAAACAGTTGATCCGATTTTATTGAATTTTATTCCAGTGCTTGCACGTCTGCTTCATTGGAACCTTCATATGTCCTACGAGCAATCGGAACTGAAGAGGATCTAGCGCATTCTAGTATTCGATTTGGAATTGGACGGTTCACTACTGTAGAGGAGGTTGATTTTACAATAACTCAGGTTGTAAAACATGTCAAACGACTACGTGAAATGAGGTTAGTTTTCACCTTTCACGGAATCTGTACAATGTTTTCAGAAGTAGATTTTAAGTGATTGCGAATTTGTAAATTGTAAAAGGATCGAGAACAATTAATGTAAAAGTGGAATTTGGGCACTGTGGTAGAAAATCATTTCATATTAGATAAGTTTATTTGTTATAACACTTAGTGGTACAGTCATGTGGATACACAGATATGAGCAGTAAATCTTGCTCAAAACATCATCCACTTATTAATATTATATCTATGTGTGTTATGTCAAATAAATTATTCTAATATGAAAGAACTGAGGAGATTTTGCTGCTAACCCATCCAGATGAGGAATAGGGAGAATCGCATTGTGATCCCGGTGTTTCCGACTGACTTTTACTCAGTGTGGCACCGGTCAACAACCGCTGAAGGTTTCATGCATTGTGCTGTGAGCTACACTCAATGTATGCTGTCTAATAATCTTATCTGATAATAATCTCGTCCGGCACTAGTGAAGTGAAATCCGTGGTGATTCGAGAAGATTCATTTGCCCTAATAAATGCGTCATAACTCTGTCACAATGGCGCAGTAAAACATTAAACTACCCTTTGAAAAACGTGTACAATGCTTTGCCTCTTTCTCTCTCTCTCTCTTACATTATATATATATATATATATATATATATATATATATATATATATATTAAAAGTTGGTATGAAGAAAGAATATTCTTTTCAATAGGCTCTCTTCAGTTCCCCACAGTTATAAAATATCAACACATTAATAGCCAGTCATACCTTGGATACATTTTTATGTAGAATAACAGATTGGTTATAAGGTAACAAAGTAAATGGTATTTGTGTGACAGAGGTGCTTTTGCTGAATGTAATCACGAAATGCTGTGAAATGTGGGACGATGGTGACTAATAATAGATACATACAATGTGGAGAAAGAAAACTGACAAATCAGTTCAAAGTTGTAAAACGTAACTGATGTGTGGCCAGTACAAAATAGTATACACTGAAAAAATGTGATAAGATTACGGCTAGTAGTTCACAAAGTAGTCAACATGTAAAGTGAATCATATGAATTCACATTTTTAGAAAGGAGTAATAGCCCTAACAATAAATCAGAATACTATGAATGGAAAATTCAGTAAAGTTGAAAAGGTGCTAGAATGAAGGGTATAAATTAAGAAAGACTAAAACTGTTAGGATGAAGAGAAAAGAAAAGGGACGATTGAAAATGAGTAAAAGATACCATAGGAGGGGTACACAATCGAAACGTCACATGGACGTGTTCTGTTCTGAATAGAGAGATCTGGTTTATTCTATCTTATTGCATCATCTTCAGTTATATGTGGAAGGACTATGTAAAAGTGACTTCGGAATGTCATGTATAGGCATAAAGGCCATGTTAGCCTCTATACTGTCCTTTATGAACTAATCTTATATATATATATATATATATATATATAAAACAGCTGACATTGTCATCATTATCAGATGTTAGGATCAGTGTGACAATATTAATGTACTACCTTTTGGACCCCTATTAATTATTTAACATAGTGTGCGTCCGTGATTCCATGGTATAAAGCTCGTCAACCACATGGAAAGTCTAGGTTCAGTTCGCGACTGACGCACTCCTAAACCTTGCCTAGCAGTTAGTAAACCTGGAAAAGAGAGAAGATGGATCGTGAGGCTAGCACCCCCATCACCCCGTAGAAAGCACACAGCTGTTTTTGTGAACTCAAAGCTTAAAGACCCATTTTATAATCGGAAAGCAACATTGTAAAATATTGTTAATCTATAAATTTAGAATTTCTAGAAATGACTTTTAGTTTAAAATTAAAACCTGATTTGTAAAAGAGTTAGAAGTGGTCAAACCAAAACCTGGCATTATTCCATGTATTCTTTGACAGTTGACTTGAGCCACATAGGGAGGTGAAGACTGTCTAGAGGGGGATTCTTCAGGATGCTAAGTCCCAATGGTTGGAGACTATTGGTGATATGGTTCAAAATCCTCCTCAATTGCACAGATGTATTCAATGTTTATGATCTCCCCATAACCCATTAAACATTCAGGTTTTTCTACATTACCATTCTTTATCTTGTACATTTCTGCTTACAGTGGTTCTTTTGAATCTTCTTTCTTTTCTCTAACTTTGTGTGCTACATGCATTGTGGTAACTTGAACTACTGTACTTCTGTACGAATTTCTATGCTGATATGTGGTCAGTCAATCGAAGTGTGAAATATATACTAGTTTTTAGGGAAAAAGAAGAGCTAACTGGAGATTCGTTATTAGGCAGCGAAGTTTTTAGTTTCCAGACATGCTTACTTTTACTTATCTTTAGTTTCTGATAAAGGGTGATAGTAGTTAATCTGTTTAATTATTTTCCATTGGTTTTTTGTTTAAATCGAATCTAAACGAATAGTTTTTTACAGTATTTGGTACTGATCATAGCCTTATCCACCAGAGCTAATTTAAATCTGATGAAAAATATTGGCTTGTTTTTATCTAACTCTTAACTGCTAACATCTAAGCATACCTGTTATTTACAATAAATAAACTGAAATGGTGCTTTTTGGACTCAAAAATTTGTAACAATTTCCTGTGTAACTCTGTCTTATTTCGCTTAATTTTTCAGCCCGTTATGGGAGATGGTCTCAGAAGGGATTGATATAAAGTCTATACAATGGACACAACACTAACTTGTCTAATAATTCTGTTTCTTCGCCTTTGAACTGACTAAAGAGATTCTTGTATTGTTAAGTTGCAAACTTGTGATCAAATGAAATTTTCCTGATATATTTTATTTAATTAATCACGCCTTACACATTTTGATTTCGTTTGAAAAATATATTTAGTGTTAATGGTTTTGCTCTTTCTTTAACAATAATTTGGAGAGAGGAAGATGACTTATCCTCGTATCTAGTTATCACATACTTCTCACTGAGCACTACTCTCATTTTTGCATCGTCTGCATGGTTTTTAAACCTAGTATCGTTTTAAATTACTTCTAATATATATGATCGCGCAATTACATTGACTCGTCATATTTTAGTAGATAATACTAGTCTTTCTGCAATTTTCTAATGGTATCTCCAGGATATAGCAAGAAGTCAAGGAAATATTATTGAAAGGCATTTTATAATCTTATCAGTACCCATTCATCTCAGAGTTGGATTGAGTGAACTAGGAATTCACTGTGGTTACACCTAAATGCATGATTCGATGATACTCTTACTAAAGTAAAAATTTATTTAAGTCTTTTCGTTTGATTCAGTAAAAACAGTGTGGGTCGTCCGTGAGATTGTGAAAAAAGAGTTGTCGGTTTGTCAGCTGCTTTAACCTTTAGTCTCTCTATGGCGATCGACGTGTACCAGTGCATTACTGTCCCTCACTTCCTGAACATCATGTTGATTTTCATCTGCATTTTGTAAGGCACTTATAATGGAGGTGAATTACTGTCACAGAGGGAAAATAGCTTTATACACCTCAAAAAACTGTCACAAGCTCTACCATATTCTTATTCTTTACGTGTTATTTACTCACTGTCAGTATGCGAGGTCTCTGATCTTTTCGCAGTCGATGTAATATTGAATCAGTTACTTGCATCCTAGTAAAAATCCGTCTCAGAAGGTTATCTGGGTTTACTTTTCACTTGGAAGCGTGCATACATGAGGTGCTGGTGTAGGTTTCTAACTGCTGTTCAGTAGATGAAAACTATGAAATAACCTCCCATACCAAGTGAAACAGATTCTCGATGAGTCAAGTGTTAAGAATTAGTCATTCCACTAAAATGTCCTTACTGCTGAGCTACCATTAGAAGGCTTCCACACCGATAAACGTGCACATTGCAGAATACAAGACAAGCATTCCTGGGAGTCCGGGATATTTGACTGGATCGTAGTAGTGTAAGTAGTCCGCAGAATAGTGAGGTACGTATATCTCATTTGTACTGCTGACAACAGTAATTTTCCGTGGGTTGTTCAACTACTCTTTCTTCTTGTGATAATGGGTTAGTAACTGTCTGCCTCCTATACCTTACTAGTCAAAACTGGTCTCTTCATTCATCGATTATCTTTGCGACACCCAACTTTGGTCGCTCTCGTAACAATTACGAAGAACCCTCCAAATTAAACTGAGAATATTGGGACTACTTATAATAATAAGCTGAAGGGCTGAAAACTTACTGACAAGCTACCTACAAGTGGGTGGAAAGATGGCACTCTGTGATTACTTCCAGGGGTTTGCACTTCCTGAACTGCTTTTATAAATGAATTTTACCAAAAGTTGACAACTTTGCTGGAAGATGCTGAAATATGGTCACATTAGCCCGGGAATTTGATGATTAATTTTTAAAAATCGAAGCAGTCAGCGGTGTCTTAGGTGGACAGGCGTCGGTGAATGTTGCTTATAAACTGTTCAGTCAGTCAAGTGTTGCTTCTGCAGTCAAAGATACAGACAATGGATTTATGCCAGACTCAGTATTGTAAGGATGGTCCACAGAAGTATACTTCGTGCTTCCTCATTCGTGTAGTTATTGAAGAACATGCGATATATTTAAATTTCTTCTTTACGAACGCATGAAGTTAGCTAGATGTTATTAAAATTAAATGTTTGAAAGGACAACATGGTATCACAAAAAATTAATTGAGATAAGCTACTGAAACAAGAAACTGCTTCATAGCCTTAATAAAGATGAGCTACTCCACCTATCTATACTCTCTGTAAACTAAGGAATACAGGCTAAATGGTTGCTTCCAATGGGTAGAAACGACAGATGCACCAGAGAACGATGTTTCCAGGGCTGGCAAGAGTTTCTTTCGCTCGTATGAGTATATTACTGAGTGAATCTAGAAGAATAACAACTAGTATTCGGTGAACAAGTAGTAAGATTGCCTGTTAACACACAGCAGTCATGGTCTTCTCTATTTAATGATTCAGTAGACAAAACTACAGTGGTAGGTAGTTCCATAGAATTATTGGCATCAGCATTCATTAATGAACATTGCATGCTAAATCTCACTGTTTAAGTCGACTTTTATAGCTGAAGGCTCACGCGAAAATATCCACGCCATTTGGAACGTCGTCGTGTTACGTTCGTGCACTATCCCTAGCTTGGTTGAAGCATCGATCAAATACCGATGATACCAGAGGATATTCCAAAAACGACTATCATTACGCCTTTCAGGTTGACTGAACTTCCACGTATGCTATTCAGTCTCCGGAATGCAGCACAAACATTCAAGTGCCTCGTTGATGAAGTATTTCGCGGGCTTGAATTTTTATACACATACTTAGACGACTGCCTCATTGCGACTCCAGATTCACAAACTCAGCTTAGATACTTGAACTTGGTATTCGAAAGGTTACGCCTACATAATGTTGCCATTATTATTCAAAAGTGTCAGATAGGAGTGGAATCACTCGACTTTCTCAACCACATCATTGACTGCAAGGGTATCCGCCCACTGGCTAGTAAAATTGAGGCGATTCTGAACCTTCTCGAGAGAAATACGGTGAAAAATCTCCGCACTTTTGATGGCTTGGTAAAGTGCTACCGATGCTTTATTCCTGAGTGTGCCTCCCTGATTCAGCCAGTAACAGACCTTCTTCGAGGGAATAACAAGTTCATCGAACTTGACGCATCCGCTAAAAACGCTTCCATTCAGGTTAAAAAAAGCTATAGTGGGTGACACACTTATTTCGATTGGACACTAGAAAACAATGTGACGTTTCTAGTCCTTTCTTTGGTGCAGACTGAATTTTATCAGTAAGGTTTGCAATGTGGCCACCATTCCAGGTAGCTGGGCATCACGGTGCACATTGATTTGATGATATTAGATGGTTGGAGGAATCGGCAGGAAGCCTTGGACCTAGATTTCGTGCTAGTTGGCACTCATCATCAAGGCGTATCTGTGACCTTGAAGGGACTCATGTCCCTTCTGAGATTCGAACCCGTGTCACCCAGCGCTGCAGTCAAAGACGTTACCACTGAGCTATTTGGGCTCGCGATTGACCTCCTGTAGGACTGTGGTGGGTATTTTGATTTGACATTTCTTATTTATCAGGATCTTCCGGCACCGTTGAGTATCTCAGTTGATGCATCAAACACTACAATCGGTGCAGTCCTGCAACAAACAGTGGCAACTGCCCACCGTTTTCTCGAGGTGCATACAACTGGCAGAAACCAAACACAGCACATTCGGCGGGGAACATCTGGCTATATACTGTGCTGTACAACACTTCTGACATTCAGTGGAGAGTCGTGAATTCATAGCTTTCAATGACCACCGGCTTCTAACATACTCTCTGAACTCAATCTCAGATAAGTATCCACCTAGAGAGTCACAAAAACTGGACTACGTTTTGCAGTTCACATCGGATATTCGCCATACATCCAGAGTGATCGACACTGCGGCAGATGCCTTGTCGAGCATTTGTTCTCTCACTCAAATAGATGGCATAGACCTTATAAAACTGGCTCCTATTCAAAATGAAGACACCGAACTCCAATACGAGTTGTCGTAAACAACTCTGCTGTTAGCCGAGAAACCCTTAGGTTTGGAAAGAGACGCCATTCTATGTGACACTTCCATTAGTACTCCTTACCCCATCGTACCTAAAGTTATCGCCGTAACGTCTTCAATACGTTGCATGGCTTATACCACCAACATATTCGAGCTACCGTTAAGCTCATTACGAGTCGGCTTTTTTGGCCTGGTATTAAAGAGGGAGTGAGAGAATGGGCTTGTACGGACCTAGGTTGCCAAAAGTGCAAGGTAGTAAGAGACTCCGGAAGCCCTCTTGGCACCTGCCTTATCCCTGGTGCTCGTTTTGAACACGTTCATGTAAATTTGGTTGGACTCTTCCAGAATCTCATGGACATACCTACATCTTAAGCTGCATTGACTGTTTTACACGATGACCTGAAGCACCATCTCGCAAAGACGTATCTGCTGAAACAGTCATATGCGTCTTTGTCGAACGATGGATCGCAAACTTTGGCTGCCTATCCTCCATAACAGCTGATCGCGAGCAACGTTTCGAAAGCGGCTTCTTCCTGACTATGCGTTTCAGAAAAACGGCCAGCCATCCTCAAGCTAATAGTGTGGTATAACCTCTGCGCTGACAGATGAAAGCTGGGTTATAAGCTGCAAACAATATATATTGAACTGAATCACTACCTTTACCTCTTCTAGGCATACGAAATGCCTTGAAAACTGATGCTGGCCGTACTACAGTCAAGCTAGTATATGGCACAACACTACAACTACCACGTGGGTTCGTTCTTCCCTCTAGCTACTCACCAACAATAGATCACGCCTTGTACGTCAGCAAACGCAATACGTGCAGCAAAACCTGCTCCCATCTGACCAAAGTCCGTAGACGTCTTTGTTCAGCCATACTTGAAAACTCCGTGCGTCATCATCTGGAACCCCATACGACGGACCATGCACAGTCATCAGCTGGAAAGATTTTTGTTTTAGACATAAAAGGTCGCGAAGACTCCTGTCAATCACGTCTCATAAACCGTTAATGCTCAGCTCTCGCTACGCTCGGGCCCACGCTGTTCTTCGAAGATTTCTCAGAAACGCTTAGTTATAACGGACGCAAAAACCAAAACACTGATCTGCCGCTTTAGATTTGTTTATTATGACACCAAAATATAAAAGGAATAAACGAACTAAGGTCTGTAAACAAATATTACAATAATAAATCGTTATATTACTTCTGACGATGTTTCACTCTTCTTTCTGAACAGCGACCGATGAGACGATGACTGTCGTATTGATGCCTCCGCGAAAATCGGGGAAGTTGATTTTGAGCGAACAACCAAGAATTGATCGTTCAATCTTCAACTCCATT